GCACTTATCCAGTGCGCCACCGGGCCGGCCCTAGGTAGGTCTGTTTCTAAGTTCTCCTTGCTGACTCTCCTCCCCTGCACCCTATGGCTACCCCAGCTCAGAAAATCTATTTGAAGAACCACTTACACCAGGCCAGTTCCTCGTTCACTCATGAATTGATTTCAGTTTAGAGGTGTTAAGTTCTTCTGCCGAGTCCCACAGAGTCTAGTGGCCTAGAGAGTCAGGATTCCATCTGTGAGAGGTTATGCAAGCTCTGCATGCCTCAGTGGGCCCCTCTGTAAAATGGGACTGAGTGTGCCTCATGGAATTCTTGGGAAGACTAAATGAGCTAACACTCGGATCCCTCAAAACAGTGCCTGGCACATAGCAAGTTTTCCATGGGTGTTACCCGATGTTATTACAGTGACACTACCAGGGCCAGGTTCTTAGGGCATCTCACTCTCACTAATGTTCTGTTTTCAGGGGGCTTTGATCTGTGTTGACGCCTTTGCTTGTCCTTTAACAGCCTTGTGAAATAGGCAGGGTGCTGGAGGAGAAAGAACCCAGCTTTGTAGAATCAGCTAGTGTGGTTCCAAGCAGGACTGAGGTTCAGCTGGGATGCACTGGAATGACCATGGCCATGGTAAAAATTGCTCTGTCTAATGTAGGAGCCACCAGCCATAGTGGCTATTTAAATTTAAATGTTAATTACTCGAAATTAAGTAAAGTTAAAACTTTAGTTCCTCAGTCACAGCAGCCAAGTTGAACTCCTCAATAGCAACATATGATTACTGGCTGCCATGTTTTACAGTGCACATGTAGAACATTCTCATCATCACAGAGGGATCTGTTAGACAGCTCTAGGTTAAAATATTGAAATAATTCCATAGTGGTTGGAAAACATTTGCTGCTTTGAGCATTCTGAGTGCCTGTGATGCCTTCAGCCCTTCATCATAGGATGTCTTTTTGATTCCCATTGAAAATACTATTTTCATTATATTAATTATTATTTAATTATTATTTCATTATACTAATTCGGTTATCTGTGTGAGAGAAAAATGTACTAGTATTTGTGTATTGGGGGTCAAAGGAGATTTATAATATTGAGCTCAGGGGATTCTCAAACTTTCATTGCACATTAGAATCACCTGTGAGGCTTTTAAAACTCCCACTGCTNATTTAAATTTAAATGTTAATTACTCGAAATTAAGTAAAGTTAAAACTTTAGTTCCTCAGTCACAGCAGCCAAGTTGAACTCCTCAATAGCAACATATGATTACTGGCTGCCATGTTTTACAGTGCACATGTAGAACATTCCCATCATCACAGAGGGATCTGTTAGACAGCTCTAGGTTAAAATATTGAAATAATTCCATAGTGGTTGGAAAACATTTGCTGCTTTGAGCATTCTGAGTGCCTGTGATGCCTTCAGCCCTTCATCATAGGATGTCTTTTTGATTCCCATTGAAAATACTATTTTCATTATATTAATTATTATTTCATTATACTAATTTGGTTATCTGTGTGAGAGAAAAATGTACTAGTATTTGTGTATTGGGGGTCAAAGGAGATTTATAATATTGAGCTCAGGAGATTCTCAAACTTTCATTGCACATTAGAATCACCTGTGAGGCTTTTAAAACTCCCACTGCTGGGGCCGGCCCGGTGGCACACTGCTACAGTGCGCCGCTTGGGAGCGCGGTGGCGCTCCCGCCGAGGGTTCGGATCCCACATACAGACCGGTT